GTGCTGCACGCTATCAAGAAGCAAGGTCCACCCGCTTCTCCACACCTATCCTGGAAGTCCATATAGGAACGCTTCATCTCAGCTATCCCCAAGACGCTATGGGCAATCATTTTAACAAGCTTATACGGTGTTTATGAAGGAGACGGAATCCGCTAAAGTAAAAGCTGGAACTATGCTTGAAATGCTAGAAGACCAAATGCAAGGACCTGCACTATGTGATGACGAGGCGTATGTAAAGAAAAAATCTAACAATGAGGAACAGAGGATTCTCATTTCCTGAATTCAAGAAGAAAAAAAAACAGAAATAGTTCCTGTTAGTAATACTAAAAAACCCAAGAAAAGCAATAGACGCACGCACACAGTGACTAAATGAATGAGATCAACACTTCTAATAACTTTTGTTTTCAACAAGAGGAACGAAAAGCCTATGCCTAACGGCTGATAGCGTTAGCAGAAAAGCAGGTGCTGAACAAAACTTAACAAAGAAGCTGATAACGAAAACTCAAGATAGATGCGAACATGAAACGGTATCATAAAGATCCAGCTAAGAATGCTGATTGATAAGGGAAAATTCAACCATAAGAGGGGGTTGAGCCCACGCTTCACCCCTACGGAGGGCGAAACACGAGTTCGACTCTCAACTGGGGTCGATTTTTTGCTCATCAATCAATATTCTTAAATGAATTTTGAAAATAACATAGCACCGCTAAGCGGTGAAATAAAGAATTTATGTAGAAGTGTCTTTCCGCCATAAAAGAAAAGGCTATTGACTATTTCGAAACTTACTTTGACTGTCCTACTGCAGCATGCCAATTTGTTATACAATAGATAAACCTTCTTTACCTCACAGAAATCACGATAAATAGCGAGAATATCTGGTGAAGTCAGTTAATGAATGAAAGTGGTTGAAACCTGATGACACTGTGGACTGGGTAGTTGGTATTTTCGTGCATAACTTGCATCCATAACTCCACATGGTAGCTCATTCCGATACCTGTGTCGATAGCGGTAATACGACGACGTACCCTGTTTCGTGCAATCCATTGGAATGTCTAAAGAAAAAAGAATTCAGAAGAAACTTAAGCATAAACGGAAACTATACTAAATCAATCGTTTTCATACATGGTGGACAACTTCTTGGACATAAACACCTCCCATATCCATCGGAATCTTTACGACATAATCCATTGTGAACGCAGTCATAATTAGATTCACATCGTGGAACACCTGGAATTAATAGACCGGAACTGTTTTTAATCAGTTTAGCGAACTGCTCTTGAGAAAATGCGCCATTTTGGGAATGTAGAGGCTGTGAGAATGAGTCATTCAGTAATTTCTAAAGGTGAAAGCGATCGTATTTGACTAATACACACCCGATTTAGAACCGGAAAATAGCTAAATACCGTTATAACAGGAAATCATGAGACGCTTGCAGTAATAACTACCCGTCTACAATCTCAATGAAATGCTTCTGAACAAACATGCGTGATAGAATGTCGTTCTCTTTCTATTATCACTATTCTAGTCTACTAATCCCTCTCTAATATGGCATGCCACACAACAAATAGATATCAAGTCGACCAAACTTTCCAACGATATTCGGGTACTTTAACCCTTTGCGGATGGAAGTTAATAATTGTTGCAAGACTTGCGCGATTTGCGCTATTTCATTGGGATTTTTGGTTTGAAAAAAACACTCGGTCTCTTGTTGGACTCATAACTTTCACTAAACTTGAGTATGAAACGTAAACTTCTTTCCGCCACTAGATCGCACTACGAAGACCTTCTTGAGAACCACATTTAGCTTCGAAATCGCCCAGCCTCATGCTATCGAAAGGGTATTAGCATTGTTTCATGAAAAACCATCCAGACCCTGCAGTGTGAAATATAATCTTATTTTCCTTGCTACAGCGTACTCAGAAGGCCTTTTCAGAGACAAAGCTCAGCGTTGAAATTGTCGAGTCTTCAGCCTTCAAATATCTTTTAAAACTCTGCTAGAACAGCTCTGTCCAGCGAAAAAATCCTCTGAAAAGCTGATGGTCAAAAATGGTCCTCACTGTCCACAAAGGGTTAATCGTGAGATCCACAGATCATCATTTAAAAATAGTAATAATGGCAAATTAAGAGTTCCAGATACACATGGTTCCTACCTTAACCACCTTTTATATGAGTGAATCAAGTGCACTACTAGCACTGCTGTCAAATTTCAGATCAGATAAACACCCTCAAGAGGCAGAATGAAGACTACAAGAGAATTTGTGTTTTTCTTGAAACGTAGAATGTGCTGACACTTTCTCGACTAGATGAACTGCTTGAGCTTTGAATCCTTTCGAATTGAAGTCAAGCGGATGAAGAGAAGTGGGAATAACTTAAAGCTTTCTTGAGGAGAAGGAGCGCATTTGCATTAGTAGGAATTAAGAATTCTTCTACTTAGGTTACGAAATTGTTCGACTGAGTAGAGTGCGAGTTAATCTGACTCTTCCAGGCTCTGAAGAAGGCAATACCTCACAGCAGGTCATCATTTGTTGTGCCGATTTGTAGTCAATAATTCTACTCAACTGTACTCAGTAAAATGATACATTTCCCTCCTCCTCATCAAGAAAAGCACTAAATTATTTCTACTTCTCTTCATCCTCTTGACTTAGTTCAGAGGGACTCAGAGCTGAAACAGTTTAGTCGACAAAAGCTCAGTGCATCCTATATTACAAGAAATACACAAAATCTCCTCCTAGTCTGCATTTCCATTTCTCAGGGAGTATATTTGGCTCAAAAAAGTAGCAGAAACGCTAGTTGTTCACCTCAATCACTCACACAAAAAGTGAATACGCACGTCATAAAGCACTTTCTATTCACCTCAGCATAGTACACTCCTTCTAAACTGAGGCTAAGCTATTGTCGGTCCTAAAGATTGCCCACTCCGTTTGTGGTCAATGAGGGAGAAAAGGAAAACGAAAAAGTATAGAACAGACAAATAGAGTAAAATAATGATTACAAAATGAGGAGTTTTGAGCTCACCGAGTTTGTCGGCCGATGCTGGTCCGGTTGATGTTGTTGCGATCGATGTTACAGTTGTATTATTTAATGAATAGATGTCACCGCCATCATCGTCATCGCCGTATGTAAACCGCAACAACAGCAGAATTAGCGTCGACCACCACGTCCAAACGCCATATATTAAGGTCATCTTTCGTCTCTTTTAGGTAGAAATAGTCATAATGATGATGATGCTGATGATGTTGATGATGAAACGGGGTTAGTAGCGATCGAATTGTACAGGAAAAAAAGGCCTGAAATCGTCAATAGTTATTGTTATCGGGTCGTTCCGTAAGTTTTGGCACTAGATCAATAGACACCAAATTTATCCACCGGAAATAATCGAAACTGCATGATTTTGGTATCGTTCCATTGCGCGTTTTCTCGCGAACATTTGGTACACAGCTTGCCCATACTTGCTTTGAAATGCGGCTGTCTTGGGAACAAATTCGCCTGCTTCTCATGCACAAATGGTACGTAAAGAAAACTGCTCATCAAGCGACGCGCAAGATTAATGGAGCTTCCGTGGACGACCTAAGCGCGACTGATCCTCCAGACTAAATTCTTTCTATTTTGACTGCCACTTGCAGTGGTATGATGTTATAGTATACCCAATATGTGGAGTGCTGTGCAAAAACGTTTGCGTCAGCCGGGATTCGAACCCAGATCTCACTCTTTCCGGGAACGTATGCTAACCGTTGCACTACCGACGCTCGTTTTGCACAGCACTCTTATTTACGCTATAACGCGTTGTCTGCCAACAGCCAACCGTCGACGGTCTGGCGAAAGAGTGCGATCTGAGTTCGAATCCCGACTGACGCAAATGCTTTTGCACAGTACTCCACATATTGGATCCTCCAGACTGTCGTCCAGCTGTGACTTCGCGAACCACCTCCTAGCCCTCCTTTCTAAATGCAGCCGTATCATCGCCCCAAGCTCCATTAACCTTGCGCGCCGCTTCACGAGCATTTTCGTCTACGTGTCATTCGTGCATGAGTCGCAAGCGAATTTGCTCTCAAGGCAGCTCCATCTCAAAACAAGTATAGGCATGTTGTATACTAAAATGTTCGCAAGAAAATGCGCAATCGATCTATATCAAAATCATGTAATTTTGATTACTTCTGATTGATAAATTTGGCGTTTATTGCTGTGGTGCCAAAACTTATGGAACGGCCTAATAAATTACGGAGAAGAACTCTACAACAACAACAATGACCGTAAGAATCAATGTAAAATACCAAAGGCATATATAGGCGTTCAACAATGGCATGATTGTTCTCTTAGTATTTGGAAAACCTAGTTCAACAACCGTAATGTTGAGTGAAGAGGAAAACACTGAAACCTCAGGTGGGAATCGAACGCGCATCTCACTGCTAAGGGTGAGAGGCGAGTTCGATTCCCGCCCGATGTTCGGCGTTCTGCACATCATTAAAAAATTATCGGATACAGATTTGTAACATCGTAACAATTCTAACGGGGCTGAAAGCGGTTAACCCTCTAAGGACCATGACGACGTCGCGTCTCGTGGGAAGGCATGCAGGCAGACAGCCAGAAATGCGCTTACGGACACGTAGATGCTGCGTGTTTGCGATAGCCGCGGAGGCGACGGCGCGACGCCGCCTGCCTATGAACGATGGCCCTCAAAGGGTTAAAAAAATAAGATAGAGACAACTTTTGAATCCGTTATCCACTACACTCCTATTGAGAAATTCAGAACTTTTTAAGTCCTGAAATCTCAGCTTCAATCTCACAGAACCTGCGACTAACAGCAGAAACAACATTCAAAACTTTAAAAAAATATTCTTCACTGTTTTCCAGTAAAATTTAGTGGATTAAGAACAGGTCAAAGAGTAGGCGAAAGCGCCGCTAATGGAGAAGTTGCGATCCCACTGATATTCAAAGCCTTAGGCTAAGCCTCACAAGCTCTCGTGATTTTTATTCAAAGGAATGAGTGGTCGGGCAAATGTGCCTCTGTGGTTTAGCGGTAGAGTACGCGTCCCGGATAGGATGAAACGCGGGTTCGATTCCCGTCTGAGGCCGTGTTTTTGCTCACCACTCAATTCTCTTAGTTATCGAAGGAATCAATTTGAAAAAGGACTTTGAAAAGCAATGGGACCAGAGCTCTCCACAAGAGCCGCGAATACAAATCAGTGTATCGTCCGGCGTTGCTTTATCAGTTTACCCCTCCATCAGGCGCTTCTGGAGACGCTGCAATTTCATTTTGAAGATCTTGACGGCTTTGTAGAGAAACGAACCACCAAAAGCATCCAGGAAATTTCAGGAATAGCAGGGAAATCCGATCGATGGAGACCGGATATGGGGGTGGGACGGACGAGACGAGAAAGAAAACGGGACGACAACCACCACCCACCACCAACCCCCCCATCGAATCGATCAAACGCAATTAAACGCAACAGACACCGAGATATATCGGCGGACATCTTTGTCTCCTCCGACAAGCCCAAACATTGTAAACCCGAAAGGCTCGAGTAGGTTTCGATCTATCACACGGCCAGTAGTGAAAAGCCGTAAGAAACTGGTAAGGTCAAAGTTTCATTTCTGGGAAAAAAAACTCAAGCCACGCGGCTTTTTTCGGCGCGGTTACCTAGCCACCTAACCATACGAATAGTATATGACTCATAAGGATAAAGGATAAAGGATAAAGGTCTCGGCGTTGATCAATCGCGGAGGGATGCGCCATGCATTCGTCTTCAATTTTTAACTTCGTCTGAGGTGATTGAATGCATATCCGGTCCTTACAATGACTCGCGTGGCCTCCCTCTGAACCGAGTCAGTGCTGCTTATCCTCCCAGACAAGTCTGAGACCAGTCTGGTACCAATTTACCGACCCCGGAGGGATGGACGGCTTGGTGAGCCATGAGCGCGAAATCGAACCAGTGACCTCGTGTGCAACGCAGGACACCTCTAACCACTGCACCACATGCGCTCATCACATAACCATACGAGTAGTATACGACTCATATGATTAGTCTCTGGAAAATAACGACCAAAAGAGGGATGATCCCCATGGCCAAAGACTTCTCTATACCCGCGACACAAATCGTCTCAAAGAACGAGTACAATCTGTATCAATCAGGTCAACGCAGCATCATCACGAGCTAGCCTAGCCCCATGACCCTAGCGGACCCTCAGATATTCTCTGCCGAAAAGATCCCGACGGCTAACTAAAAGCCTCAGGAATAATTTCCAATGATGGGGGGCGAATTTCAGCGGGAAAAAATTTTTCAAAAATCTTCCGAAATAAAACGCCTTCACAAGCCACCACTAATAAAGTAGTGATTATCAAAGACAGATTTGTAGGAAAACCAAAGGTGTAGAACAGTCTAATTAATCCCCTCCCTCCCAACTAAGGATTCCCTTTCTCCCTTATACGAGCAAACAACTAAGGAACTGAGGTAACCCTTTGCGGACAATGAGGGTCATTCTAACCCTCAAATTTCCAGAGGTCTTTTTTCGCCGGATGAAGCTTTTCATCTGGAATTTGAGCGATCGTTCAAAAGCTTAAATCTCGGAGACTCCGAGATTTTGTTTGATTCTTAAGAAACCCCATTATACTATGCCGTAGCAGCTGAAATAAAATTCTGTTTCACACCCGGGGTTTGCCTTAGTTGCTCAGCTAAACTCTGTCGGATCGCTTTCTATCGGACCACACTAGGCTCATTCGATAGCCAAAATCTCGGCCAATTCGAGGCTCAAACTGGCCCTCGAAAAAGTTTACAAAGAGCACTGCGAGAGCGAGAATAGAATGACCTTTCACATTCGGGGTTTTCTTTGCCCACAAGAGTTATATATGCACAAAAGTATATGAAATCGAAGAGAAAATCATGTTCTATTAGAGTGGCAAAAAAGGAGAGTACTTCCTGAAATAGAGAAAAAAATCCTTATTTAAGAACCAAAATCGTGCGCTACTAGTAAAAACCGATTAAGCTGCCGTCTGAAGAGGATTGACAGGCCGACAAACAAAAAAGTAAACAACAACAAATAGGTAAACAAATGATAAACACGACCAAACAACCAGAGAAAGAGACGAATAAGAAGCAGACTACAGGGAAAGCGCGATGACGTCACAATATTTAGATGGGACGGAATAGGACTATGTAATAGAATATTCTGAATAATAAATGGCCGATGTCCGAAAGGAAGTGGTGCGGTCCGGATGGTATGCGGTCCATGACGACATTGTCGGATCGGTCGCGGACGGATGAATGGACGCGAAGCTCGCCGCCCGCGACGAGCCACGGTGGCCGCTAATCCAATAATACGCAGTTGCGGTGGAAACGCGCACGCGACGACGCGCAACATCGCACGCGATTGCGTGGTGGACGGGAGGCTGGGAGATCGTCCGTGTGGGAGGCAGTGGACGAGGGGGATCGCCCAGTTCGGCTATTAATCATCTCATGCGTCAGGACGAATGCCGAGGGAAGGACGACCGACGAGGGCCGGGCCGTATGTAGTCATGCAAATCAGAATATACGAGGAGCAGCTCACTATATATCCGAGCAGTGGCTAGACAAAAGCTCTTGGACCCAGCTGGGAGTTAAACCCTCGTCAGACCCGTACCGGGGCGCCACGCTACCACTACACCACCGAGGCGCGATATGAGAGATTGCAACTGCCAACAACTAGCCGTTCAGGGGTTTGGTCTGGTGAAACGATCAAGGATAAAGCTCTCGATGTTGAACAATCTCCAAGGGATGCATCATGCATTCAATTCCATCCGTAGCATCGTTTGAGCCGATTCCAATGGAGACCGTTCTTTATAATAACTCACGGTGGGCTATCGATGTATCAAGTCACTACTGCTACCCTCCCAGGAAAGTCTGACACCAATCCCTCGACCTCGGAGGAATGGAAGGTTGGTGGGCCTTTTTCGATGCATGACATCGAACCACCGACCACTTAGGTATCGCAGGACATCTCTAACCACTCCGCCATATGCTCCCGTGATCTGGTGTTAGTACACAGTTATAAAACGGATTCCTTTATGTATCAATTATTTAATTAATTATTTACATCATAGCGTCGTCTGGTGACCCGATCTAAGACGATTGTGAACAAAAAACTCCTCTCGAATAGGAAAGCGGGGGAGTTGCACTTAAGCAAACAGTGAAATCAGAAGCGATTACGCTATCGAATGATTACTAATACTTCAAAGAAAGAGCTCTGTCCTACAAAAAATATGCATGTCTGCAACACAAGAAATCTCCTCCTCTAGTAAGGTCAAAAAAGCTTTTTTCGAAAATCGGCGACGAGGGATTGTAGCCTGGAGTCTCAGCTTTCGAGTGGTTACTAACATTCCTACAGAAAGTTCCTCTCCAGCGAATGAGGTCGGTTTTTCACTTGCCCTTCATAATAAGAAAGAACCCACTGATACTGAGGGAAATGAGTATCGACAAGTTTTTTCTTCCTTAACACTGAAAAAGTAGTTGGTTTTGCCACATAACTGCCTGTAACTCATCCAAGCGACATGTAAATTGCAACTGTTACAGATTTACACACTCCTAATAAGATCAGAGCGGTATTTCAATTGACACTAGTAACCCTATTCGTTACCCGATCGGGCCACACCCAATTATAAAACTGGTGCTGAGCGGTTTTTTTTTCTCTCTGTAGTGCCGATGCGGCCGGTGCCAGGACGTTCCATGATGCTCCTAAACAACGAGCAATCGACAGCTCTTCCTGGAAGGATGAAGGGAGTTTGACTGCCTTTGCCAGATAGTTTTTTCTTCCACGATGGGTTCTCCCACATACTGCTTCATGTAGGAGTAACAAGTTCCCGGATAGTAAAGATGAAGTGTTCTTCCTTATAGTTTAGAGGAGACACTTTTTTCCGAATGCTGATTTCTTGTTTAACCCTGAAGTTTGCCATGCAGTCAAAATTGTTACCTACTATTTAAACGAAAATATTGTACATTACCTGAAACACTACTTACTGAAGATCTAGTAGTCACGGAATAGTGTTCGGTCTGATGAATTCGATTCCTTAGAGTGAGTGGAGGTTTTAGAAGAGAAATCAGTTCAAGACCAAAATTTTCTGACAGGGAAACAAAACCGAAAATACTAGATGTTATGCGTTTAGTTATTCCTTTCTATTTTGAAGGATTACTGAAATGTCCTGAAATTCTTCAAAATCACAAAAAAATCTCACTCGAACACATTACTACTCCGAAATTACAGTTGCTTATTCTCAATCAACAACTGTTGAGGGTATACTTTCTGAGTTTGCAAGGCAAAACTAAAATTTCCACAAGAATTGCTTGAGTTCAATCGGGAATGCGGACAAGAACTAGGGCAATTTGCAATCACTTCCAATCGACAAGCTTAACGTCTGTTCAGAGAAAATACGGAAAGTCACCTGTACTCGACTTATCCCTAGAATAAACTGAAGCAAAAGCCCCTATACGAAATACTTTACTTGTTGCCAAAAATCATGACTCATTCAAAAAAAATAGACGAGTTATCGTTCAAAACAATCGTAATTTCGTTGTTGAGTAATTCTTGTCTCCTGGAGTCCTATAACTTCTGAATCGTCTTTCGATGAAAGACTTCGACTCCTAGTATGAAGTACCGTTATGATAGCAGGTATTCCTGAAGGTTCACCTTGAGCTGAACTCTTTGGAATGAGATCCTGATTTTCTGAGTGCGATTCAGCCAGATGAACACTATTAGACACTCAAGAATACTCTCAGAAGTCAATGGTGTAAAAAAAATACCATAGCTTAGAATGTACACAAAACATGGGTAATGAATGGTTGCACCTAACATAATTTCGACGACGTCTAACTTTGGAAGCATGGAGCTTGGGACAAAGCCCGATGTGCGCTGAAAATAGACGTAGGGAATAGGTTTTCATGGTGTACGTCTAGTCCAAACTCTGTGTAGATAAGCTACCAATTCTGTACAAAATGTATGGGAAATAAAGTAACGAAAATGACAATACGGAACAGATATGCACTGAGCTCAGAGCACACAGTGAATTTTGCCCAATCCCCACATATATCAACGCTTATGTCAACTC